GGGCCCCCCAGAGGTTCCCCAAAATATTACAAACGTCCCAAAACATGCTCGATCCTGCTTACATACCTACCTCATCGCATCTGCGGGACGCCAGACGAAGCGCACCAAAGCATCACACCAGAAGTAACATCTCGCCCAAATCGCCTGGGGATTTTTTGTCAGGGTGAAGCCTTTGCTTCAATTTCCTGAAATTCGGAATTCAAATGATCGTCGGGGGCTTGCAGGGTTTACAAAGACCGGCAACCAGAGCCCTCCTCGTCTTCCTCCTACTCCTTCTCCCCCTCCCCACATGTTCCTTCCTTCCTCCTACTCATCCTCCTCTTCTCGTCCCTCTCCTCCTCCTTCTCCTCCTCCACAAGGGGAATCAATATGTAATCCGCCCCCCAGGGGAATGAATATGTGATCCGCCACAGAAGGAATCAACACGTAATCCGCCACAATCGGATTCAACTTGTACTCCGCCACAGAAGGAATCAACTTGTAATCCAACACCCAGGGAGTCAATTCGCACCCCGCCACATAAGGAATCAGTGTGTAATCCGGCGCCAAGGGAATCAAGTTGAAATTCTCCACCGAATGTAATCCTGTTGTGCTCCGCCGCCAAAGGATTCCCATTGTGATCCTCATTCGAAAGATTTCCGAATTCAATCCTCCGCAAAAGGAATCATAGTGTAGTCTTCCGCAATGGGAATATAAGTGTCACTCTCCGCAAACGGATTCCCAGCGAGGCTATTCATAGGCCGATGGTAGACCCATGCGGAGCATATGCAAAAGCTAACCGTAAGCCTATGCAAAGCCTGTGCATACGACTACCATAGGCCTACGCATGGCTTGCGCATAATCCTATGGCAACCCTGTGCGCAAGAGCAACCAATGTGTATGCCGACACACACGGAATCAATGTGTGGAGACCTCAAAGGGAATCAACTTGCAGTCTGACGTGAAAGGAAGCAATGTGTAATTCGACACAGAAGGAATCACATTAATCTTCGTCGAGAAATGCGTGGTTCGCCACAAAAATAAATAAACTTGCATTCCGCCACAAAGGTACTGAATCTGTAACCCGCCACAGAAAGGAACCAAAATGTAGGCCGCCGCAAAAAAAAAACACACTTTGTAACCCGCCACGCAGGGAATCAATTTGTACCCCGCCACAAATGGAATCAGCATGTAATCTGCCACAAAGAGAATCAATGCGTACCCCGCCACAGTTGGAATCAATGTGCAATCCGCCACACATGGAATCAACGTATAAACTGCCACAAAATGAACGACTTGTATTCCGCCACGAGGGGAATCAGCTTGCATTCCGCCACAATGGGAATGATTCTATAATCCGCCACAAAAAAATCAATTTGTACTTTGCCACAAAGGGGATCAATGTGTGACCCGCCACAAAAAGGTTTCAATTTGTACTCCGCCATTAGGACAACCAATGTGTAAACCGCCACATAAAGAATCAATGTGTAACCCGCCACAGAAGGATTTAGTTTACATTCCGCCACATAAGGAATCAATGTGTAATTCGCCACGAAGGAAATCAATTTGTACACCGCCACAAAAGGGATTTAATGTGTACTCAGCCACGCGGGGGATCAATGTGCAACCCTCCACAAAAGAAACAATCTGCAATCCGCCACTGAGGCGATCAATGTATAACCCGCCACAGAAAGAATCAATGTGTAACCCGCCACAAAAGGAAATAATTTGCACTCAGCCACAAGGGGGACCAATGTGCAACCCGCCACAAAGGGAATCAATTTGCACTCCGCCACTAAGAAGATCAATGTGCAACCCGCCACAGAAATAATCAATGCGTAACCCGCCACAAGGGGAATGATTGTGTACTCCGCCACAAGGGGACTAAATCTGTAACCCACCACAGAGGGAATCACAACAGAGAATCAAGCTGTACCCCGTCACAAAAAAAGAACCACCTTGTGCTCAGCCACAGATGGGCTCAATGTATAACCCGCCACAAAAGGAATATTTAAAACAAGCCCGCCACAGAGGGAATCAATGTGTACCCCGCCACAAAAGTAAGGAACCTGTAGCCCGCCGAAAGATGGAATCAATTGGCAAACCTGCACAATACGAATCAACGCGTGCCCTTCCACGAAGGGAAGAACAATGCAATCCGCCAAAAAGGGAATCAACTTGTAACCCGCCGCAGAGGTAAGGAATCTGCAAACCGCCGCACAAGAAATCAACGTACAATCCGCAACAACGAAGGGAATAAAACTGTAATCCGCCACAGAAGGGAATCAACTTGTAGCCCGCCGCAACAGGAATCGACTCGTAATCCGCCACGAAGGAAATCAATTTGCACCCCGCCACCGTAGGAACCAATGTGTAGCCCGCAACGAAGAGACTCACATTGGAATCTCCCACCGAAGGGAATGCAATTGTGACCCCTGTCACAAGGAAGCCGATTGCAACCCTCTACACAAGGAATCCATCACGTAGTCCCCGCGAAGAGAATATTATTGTAATCCTCCACAAATGGACTCCCAGTGGGCCTTTGCGTGGCCGCATGGTACGCATGTACACAGCCAGCGCATAGGCCGACCATAGGCCTATCTATGCAGAGGCTACGCATAGCCCTGCCATGGGCCTATGCAGAACCTGCGCATAGGCCTGCGGCAACGCTATACACAATGGGAATAAACCAGCACCCCGCCAGAAAACATAATCAATGTGTAATATGCCACAGAATGAATCAATGTGTACTCCTCCACAAAAGGGGATCAACTTGTAATCCGCCAGCAAACAAAATGAACATGTAATCCGCTGCAAGAAGAATCAATGCGTACCCCGCCATAAAACAAATCGATTTGCCATCCACCACACGGGGAATCAATGTGTAGTCCACCACGAAAACAATCAATGTGTAACCCACCCCAGGAGGCAAATTTGTACTCCGTAAACAAAAATTGTCAATGAGTAATCCACCACAAAGCGAATCCATAAGTAAACCACAAGACAAATCAATGTGTAACCCGCCACAAAGGGAATCCAATATGTACTCCGCCACACATGGAATCAATCTGTGATCCACCACGAAGGGAATCAATATGTAACCCGCAACAAAAAGGAAGCAATTTCTTTTCCACAGCAGTAGGAGCCAACTTGTAATCCACCACAAAGGGGATCAACTTGTACTCCGCCACAGTTAGAGTCATGTTTCAGATTCGGTTAAACAAATCGGCATAGGAAGACTTAAACAATACGCCACACAGAAATCAATTGTATTCGGTCACAAAGGTACTGCATTGGTAACCCATCACAGGGAAATCAATGTGTAACCCGCCACAAAGAATACCAGTTTGTAACCAACCGCAGAAAGAACCAACGTGCACTCCGCCACAGAACAATCCAGTTTGCAATTCGCAACAAAAGGAATCAATCTGTAATCCGCCACAAAAGGAATCAAATTGTACTCCGCCACGCATGGGATCAAGCTATAATGCGCCACGAAAGAAATAAGTATGTAATCCGCCACACAGGAAATCAACTTGTACCCCCCCACACAATGGATCAATTTCGAATCCTCCCCAACAAATTCATATTGTGATCCTCCACAGCAGGAGTCCAATGATAAATTGCTTCACAAGGAATCCTAGTGTCATCCCCCTTGCAAGGAATCCTGCTGCAACCCTCCACGGAAGAAGTCCGATTGGAGTCTTCTGCAAGAGGGAATCTTATTGGAATCCCCGACGAACGGAATCCCATTCAGTCTATGCAGAGGCCTACGGTAAGCATATACAAAGCCTATGCATCGGCCTACGGTCAACCGCTGCATAGCCTATGCATAGGCCGGTGGCAGGCGAATCCATAGCCTATGCATAGGCCCGCCGTAGGCTCATGCAACACCTATGCGTAAGCCTGTGGTTGGCCTATGCACAGCCTGTGGGTAAGCCTACGTAGGCCTACGCGCAGCCAGTGCATAGGCTTATCACAGGCCTATGTTTATCTCATAGGCCTCGTGTAGGCCGACGCGCAGGCCTATGCACACAGCCTGTGCACAGGCCTACGGTCGGCCTATGCATAGTCTAAGCATAGGCCTTCAGTCGGCCAACCACAGGCCTACCGTGGATCAGCCACATAACTGCTGTCGACCGACCTACCCATAGCCTACCATGGGCCTACCGTGGTCCACCCAGAAGTCGACGTATAGGTCTATGGTAGGCCTATGGGTAGCCTAGAGGTATACCTACTGTAGGTCTATGTATAGCCTACGCATAGGCCTATAGCGACCTACGGCAGGCTATGCACAGGCTATGGCCGGGATCCTTGGAAGGAAGGCGCCGAAGGAGCGTCGAACCCGCACGCCGCAGCGCGGCGCAGCGCGGCGCGCCTCCGCGCACCTGGTGGCGGGGAGCGCGCCTCCCCGCGAGCGCACGCCTGGCGCCGCCCTCTGGTGCGGCGCGCAAGGGGGGGATACAGTCGGACCTAGGCAAACAAAAAAACATCCCGCAAGAGCATGAGACGTTCCGCCGGCCAAGAGAAACATAATATCCAAAGGGTACCCTCCCCAGGCTGCACAAGAGCATCTCCAACAAACACGAGGCATACTAGGATATCCCCCCGAGCCGACAACAATCGAATACCTCCATCCGACTGTACGGGCAGGCGGACGGGGGGCTGCCAAAGGAGCAGCGCAAGCACAAGCGACCGAAACCATGAGACCACTGATGCCGCCGAAGTCCCCTAGAGACCCCCCCCTACGGGGGTCGCTGGGGACACGTCGGCTGTGTTGGCGACCCTCTCCCTCCACTTCCCCGCCTCCTCCGTCGCGCTTGCTTCTCCCCCTGACTCCTCCCCCTCCCTGTCTTCCTCCTGCTCCTCCTCTCTCTCTCTCTCTCTTTCTCTCGTCCTCCTGTCGCTCCTCTTCGTGTCGCCCATCCGTCGGTCTCCCCCGCTTGAAGCGCGAATTCCTTCGCGCTCTCTCGCGCCGCCCCCCAGGGGAAAAGAGGAGGATGAGGAGCAATCGGAGCCGAGCCGCGAAGCGCGAATAACTTCGCGCCCTCGAGGGAGCCCTTGCTCGACCTGGGGAAGCCCCCTTCTGGCTGGCCTCCGCCCCACGTTTACACACGCAGCTCGTCCCCGCCCCCCCTCAAGCCGTTCGCTGATGGGGGGAGGACGAGGTGGAGATGAGGCGCGCGAGGGCCGCGGCCCATAGTGGGGACCATGGGTCCGCAGCTCGAAGCTCGAAGGAGGAGAAGGAGGAAGAGGAAGAGGAGGAGGAGGAGGAGGAGGAGGAGGAGGAGGAGGACAGATAGGGGACCACAGGCGAACCCTAACCCTGCCCCCCACAATTTCTGAGCGAAGTGAACCCCACCCTCCCCCTCAGAAATCGTTGGGGGATAGGGGTAGGGTTCCCATGTGGCCCCCCAACAAAGCACTCCATGATGCTCCTTCTCCTTCTCCGCCTCCACCACTCGCTACTTGCTCCGCTCCCCCCCCAGCTCCATGTCTCCCCCCTTCAGCTGCAGCTTGAACGCCTTCGAGGGGGACGAAACTCCCTCTCTTCCTCCTCCTCCTCCTCCTCCTCCTCCTCCTCCTCCTCCTCCTCCTCTCCTCCTCCTCCTCCTCCCCCTCCTCCTCTTGCTGTCCCCCCCTTCCTCCCTCCCTGTTCCTCCTCCTCCTCCCTTCCTCCTCCTCCTCCTCCTCCTCCTCCTCCTCCTCCTCCTCCTCCTCCCCCTCCTCCTCTTTCTGTCCCCCTTCCTCCCTCCCTGTTCCTCCTCCTCCTCCTCTCTCCTCCTCCTCCTCCTCCTCCTCCTCCTCCTCCTCCTCCTCCCTCTATCCCCCATTCCTCCCTCCATGCTCCTCCTCCCCCGCCGGGGCAGGACGTGCACGTCCCCGGCAGGATGGGGTCGCCCGCCCCCGCCCCCTCTGCGCCTCGAGGCGCGCGGGCGGCAGGGTGGGCCCAAGCCCGCCACGCTCCGCAGGGCCAGGCCCCACGGGCGAGGCTCGAGGCTCCGGCGGCCGGGCCTGCCGCAGGGCTGGCGTGGCGCCTCGGGCAGGCCTCCTCGAAGCACGGCCACGCCCTGCCACACGCCCCTGGGGTGCTGGGTGCCGCCCCCCGCCCCCCCCCTTCCCGCCTCTTGCCGTTTCGCCCTCCCTCCTTTTCCCCTCTCTCCCCCCTCCCCGCCCTTCACAATTACACAATATGAATACTACTCTCCCACTTCCCCTGATGGCGTCCGGAAGATATTCGGCCCCCCCCCGCGTACTGTTTTTTTACACACAGGATTCCCCGGAGTTGGGTTTTCGCTTGTGTTTTTTTTCTAAAATGCTGCTCTCGCTGAGGCGCTGGCCTAATTTTCGGGCTCCCGCTCCTTCCGAATCGTGTTCCCGCTGCAGCGCTGGCCTCATTTCCGCGCTCCCGCTCGTTCCGAATCGTGCTCCCGCTGCAGCGCTGGCCCAATTTCTGCGCCTCTCGTTGTTCCAAAACGTGCTCCCGCTGCAGCGCCGACGTTTTCGATCCTTTTTAAGAAGCCCCAAATCTAGAAAATGATCCCCGGCAAAAACATTGGAGGTGATTACACATCCGGTGTCGATTCGTTGATTTTTGGGGCCGCAGAAAGCCCCCCCCCCTTTTGGGCGGCGTCCTTTTCCGCACGGGATTCCCGGGAGTTTGGTTTTCACCGTCGTCGTCGTCGTCGCCGCCGTCGTCGTCGTCGTCGTGGTTGTCGTCGTCGTCGTCGTCGTCGTCTTCGTCGTCGTCGTCTTCGTTTTCATCGCGCCGTCGTCCTCCTCCTTTCCCTCTTAGGTAACAGGGTCAGATGCGAAGCCCGATTCGGTGAGAGGACAATGAAGTAGCTCAATGGGAAGGGATGGGAGGGAGGGGTAGGATGTCAGATGTTGACGCGAGCGCACCTAGCTTGTCTCCTCCTCCTCCTCCTCCTCCTCCTCGGAGGTGGTTCTGGGGAGTCTCCGCGCTTGAAGCTTGACCTGTCGCCTGCTTCAAACTCGGTGGCTTCCCACAGCCACTCGGGGTGTTGTGCCCTGCGCTCTGGTGGGCTCGGGGCGCGGCTGGGGGTGGCGCCTGCTGGCATGTTGCCCTCCCTACGTCCGGCCGGGCGCAGGCCCCCGAGCGAGCCCTGCCCAACAGGGCTACTGCGAGATGGTGAGACCGCCACCGCCTCCTCGTCCTCTTCCTGCTCCGTCTCCCTGCTCCTCCTCCTCCTCCTCCTCCTCCTCCTCCTTCGTGATTCCTCCTTCCTCCTTCCTCCTTCGTCCTTCATCCTTCGTCCTTCCTCCTTCGCCCTTCGTCGTCGTCCTCCTCATCCTCCTGCTCCTGCTCCTGCTCCTGCTCCTGCTCCTCCTCCTCCTCCTCCTCCTCCTCCTCCTCCTCCTCCTCCTCACCCTCCGCTTTCTCCTGCTCCTCCTTATCCTCCTCCTCCTTGTCCTCTTTCTATCCCCCCTCCTCCCTCCCTGCTCCTCCTCCTCCGCCGGGGCAGGACGTGCACGTCCCTGGCGGGAGGGGTCGCCCGCCCCTGCCCCTTCTGCGCCTCGAGGCGCGCGGGCGGCAAGGCGGGCCCAGGCCCGCCACGCTCCGCAGTGCCAGGCGCCACGACGACGCTCGAGGCTCCGGCGGCCGGGCCTGCCGCAGGGCTGGCGTGGCGCCTCGGGCGGTCCTCCTCGAGGCACGACCGCGCCCTGCCACACGCCCCATGGGGTGCTGGGTGCCGCCCCCCCCCCCCCCCCCCCCCTTCCCGCCTTGCCGTTTCGCCCTCCCTCATTTTCCCCCTCTCTCTCCCCCCCCCCCCCCCTTCTCTCCTCCTTCTCCTCCTCCTCCTCCTCCTCCTCCTCCTCCTCCTCCTCCTCCTCCTCCTCCTCCTCCTCCTCCTCGGGGGTGGTTCTGGGGAGTCTCCGCGCCTGAAGCTTGGCCTGCCGCCTGCTTCAAACTCGGTGGCTTCCCACAACCACTCGGGGCGTTGTGCCCTGCGCTCTGGTGGGCTCGGGGCGCCGCCGGGGGTGAAGCCTGCCGCCATGTTACCCTTCCTACGTCCAGCCGGGCGCAGGCCCCCGAGCGAGCTTTGCCCAACAGGACTACTGCGAGATGGCGAGACCGCCACCGCCTCCTCGTCCTCTTCCTGCTCCGTCTCCCTGCTCATTCTCCAGCCCCTCCTTCCTCCTTCCTCCTTCGTCCTTCGTCCTTCGTCCTTCGTCCTTCCTCCTTCGCCCTTCGTCCTCCTCCTCCTCCTCCTCCTCACCCTCCGCTTTCTCCTGCTCCTCCTTATCCTCCTCCTGCTTGTCCTCGTCCTCGTCCTCGTCCTCGTGGTCCTCGTCGTCGTCGTCGTCCTCCTCCTCCTCCTCCTCCTCCTCCTCCTCCTCCTCCTCCTCCTCCTCCTCCTCCTCTTCCACAATCACACTATATGAATACTACTCTCCTCTCTCCCCTGGTGGCGTCTGGGAGATATTCGGCCCCCCTTCGCGTACTTGTTTTTGACACGCAAGATTCCCAGGAATTGGGTTTACGCTTGTTTTTGTCAATGCAGCTCTCGCTGAACCGCAGGCCTCATTTTCGGGTCACCGTTCACTCCGAATCGTGCTCCCGCTGCAGCGCTGGCATCATTTCCGCGCTTCCGCTCGTTCCGAATCGTGCTCCCGCTGCAGCACTGGCATTATTATTTTAAGCGCCATGCCACGGCATGGTTTCCGTTCCTTCCAAATAGGCCCCACAATTGAGAAAATGCCCCCCGAAAAAACCATCGGAAATGATTACACATTCGGTGCCGATTCGTTGATTTTTTGGGCCGCAGAAGCCCCCCCCCTCCCACCCCCTTTGGGGCGTCGCCCCGCCATGCTATGTCAGGCTACGCGTCCTCATGTTCCGCATTTTTGCGCTGGCTTTGTTTACAAACTGCTGCTCTCGCTGAAGCGCTGGCTTCATTTTCGGGCTACCGCTCGTTCCGAATCGTGCTCCCGCTGCAGCGCTGGCCTCATGTCCGCGCTTCCGCTCGTCCCGCATCGTGCTCCCACTGCAGCGCTGGCGTCAATATTTCCAGCGCCATGCAATGGCATGGTTTCCGGTCCTTCCAAATCGACCCCCAAATCTGGCAAATGGCCTCCCGAACAAACCATCGGAAGTATTACACATTCGGTGCCGATTCTTCGATTCTTGGGCCGCAGAAGCCCCCCCCACACTTTGGGGCGTCGCCACGTCATGCTATGTCATGCTACGCGTTGATCCTCAACACCATGCTAAGCCATGTTGTGACATCCGATAGTGCGAATGTAGAGGCGATCTACGCCATAGTAAAGGATAGGAGAGAGGGGCAGGACGTCAGATATGACGCGAGCGCGCCTAGCTTCTCCCTCACCCCCCCTCCCTCCCTCCCTCCTCCCTCCCGCCTCCATGCGCCCGCCCCCTCGCGCTCCTCGAGCTGCGCCTCCAGCGCCCGCACGCGGGCGAAGAGCCCCTCCCTCTCCTGCTGGCGGCGCGCACAAGGGGGTACGACGGGTTCGTGCGGCGTCGGCGCGCGCCAGAGGCTATTTTTCGGGTAGCTCTCTGAGAACTAAGAGGGCTTCACATTAAGAAGCAGGAGCCGCAGAGTAGCCCCAGAGCTCGTTCCGGCCTCCGGCAGGAAGCCTCGGCGCGAGTCCTGTGAGCCTGCAGCGTGTCCCGAGAGGCCTTTTCTAAGCGTTTTCCAATACGCGTGCCCGGAAGCTCTCCAGAAGGTCTTCCGAAAGCTCTCTGCAGGCCCTTCCGCAATTCGGCAGGCCTTCCCACGCCCTTGCGGCGCCCTGCTATCCGGGTTGTGGACCCCACACATGACACCGCGTCGCTTGTTCAACCTTGAACGATCGCGGCCCCGATTGTTCAGGGCTGAATTCGGTCGGGTATTGTGGCGATACCGCGCCCCTCGGAGCTGCCGCGTCGTTCTACAAGACTCGTCAAACATACTTGGACCGTCTTTTTTTGGGGGGGGCGCTTGCGTGGTGGCCGCTACTTCAATGCTGGCATGAGGTTTTCGGCCAAGACGTAGGG